CTAATGCAGCACTTAGCGTACCTCCTCTTGGACAGCTCCCAGGCAAACTCCTGCTGTTAGCCTCTGCTGTTCTCTATCTAAGGATGGAGATTCCACCACCTCCCTAGGTAACCCGTTCTAGTGCTTCACCACCCTGCTAGTGAAATAGTGTTTCCTAATATCCAACCTAGACCTCCCCCACTGCAACTTGAGACCATTGCTTCTTGTTCTGTCATCTACCACCACTGAAAACAGCCTAGCTCCCTCTTTGGAGCTCCCCTTCAAGTAGTTGAAGGCTGCTATCAAATCCCCCCTCACTCTTCTTTTCCGCAAACTAAATAAGCCCAGTTCCCTCAGCCTCTCCTCATAAGTCATGTGCCCCAGCCCCCTAATCATTCCCCTCCACTGGACTCTCTCCAATTTGTCCACATCCTTTCTGTAGTGGGGGGGACCAAACCTGGACCCAATACTCCAGGTGTGGCGTCACCAGTGCCAAATAGAGGGGAATAATCACTTTCCTTGATCTGTTAGCAAAGGTCCACTACTACTAATAAAGCCAAATAGGCTGTTGGCCTTCTTGGCAACAAGGGCACACTGCTGACTCATATGCAGCTTCTCGTCCTCTGTAATCCCCAGGCCCTTTTCTGCAGAACTGCTGCTTAGCCAGTCGGTCCCCAGTCTGTAGCAGTGCACGGGATTCTTCCGTCCTAAGAGCAGGACTCTGCACTTCTTCTTGTTGAACCTCATCAGATTTCTTTTGGCCCAATCCTCCAATTTGTTTAGGTCACTCTGGACCCTATGCCTGCCTTCCAGCATATTTACCTCTCCCCCCATCTTAGTGTCATCTGTGAAGTTGCTGAGGGTGCAATTCATCCCATCATCCAGATCATTAATAAAGATGTAGAACAAAACCGGCCCCAGGGCCGACCCCTGGGACACTCGGTTTGATACCGGCTGCCAACTACACATCGAGCCATTGATTGAGCCCAACAATCTAGCCAGCTTTCTATCCACCTTATAGTCCATTCATCCAGTCCATACTTCAACTTGCTGGCAAGAATGCTGTGGGAAACCGCATCAAAAGCTTTGCTAAAGTCAAGATATATCACATCCACCACTTCCCCCATATCCACAGAGCCAGTTATCTCATCATAGAACACAATCAGGTTGGTCAGGCATGACTTGCCCTTGGTGAATCCATGTTGACTGTTCCTGATCACCTTCCTCTCCTCCAAGTGCTTCACCAACTCTATTTAGAGTAGCACAGCAGCAGGAACTACTGCAGCTGAAATACCACTACTGTGATAGTGGTTCAAGGATAGTGGTCCTTGCTTCTCCATGGACAGCAGAAGGATTCCTTCTCCTATCGCTGTACCCAGCACAGCTATATGATATGGAGATATACCTATCTCATAGAGGAAGAGATTAAGAAGTAGCTCTCTACTGTTTACTTAGCAATGCCATTGTATTGTAGAACTACAAAGAATACTAAAGTGCTTCATTTCATTCTTTGTTTGTAATATTCCCTCAGGCTAGTTGTTTTGATGCAAATCTGGGTGGATATTCTTAGGGTTAGTCTAAACATATTTTTGTACTGCTATAAGTATATTGGATTGATATAGTTAGTGGTACAACCCTCTGGAGTGGATGCAGTTTTACTGCTATAAGTATGCTTCTCAGTATGATTTATTCTCATAAAAGTTTCTAAACTGATATAGTTATAGCAATATAAAAACTATAGAGAAGCCCTTATTTCTGAATAAGAGTATTCCATACAGACTTGTACCAAAATAACTAAAAGTGTGAATTGTAACTGGTTTAGTTATTTCAGTTCCAGTTTGTGGTGACATTAAATTGGCTCTTTTGTTTATTACTGTTCTTGAGCGCCAACATCACTGAGGTCAACACATCTATAAGAATATTTTTTTAAAACTTGTGCTCCCTCTGCTGGCTCTTCAGCAATAGCATGCAAACACTTTTTGTCTAGACTCAGTATAAAGATTGCTGAAAAACCTTGCTATTCACATTTCAAGTTACTGCATCTTGTAGATTAGCAATTTTAAAACATTCTTTTAACACTTACTTTGAAAAGCTTAACACTTATTTATTGTAAACTGTAGTTCAGTTTTAAACTGTAGTAAACTTTTAATACATTAAGTATAAAAAATAGACTTTCCTACAGCACTCTGTATGTATGTGGTGAGACATGAGGAGATACCACTTTTTTGGTTTTGTAAAAGTTGTAAATAATATGCATGTATTAGCAAGGATCAACTTACTATGTGATGGTGTACTGAATTTATGTATTTAGTCTTAATAAAAAGATTTAGAATCCAGACCATATACAGCACCAGGTTGTAACTGTTTTACAATAGTACAAGTTTGAGCCCAATATTGAATTATCTATTTCTGGTTTGTTTTAATGGGGAACAATTTCCTAGTAGTTAGGGAATTGGAAGTCAGAACTCCTGGGCCAAGTTTGTACTAGAAAAGGTTTGCTGGTATATATTTAATACTAGTATTAAGTGTGGTTTTTACACCAGTACAAAAAAAATGTTTCCCTGAACAACATAAGCTATACTAGCAAAGGCACTTTTATGCCAGTATATCTGCATCTAAACTAAGGCCACGTCTATCCTACAGACTTCTGCTGGTGTAGCTAGGTCAGGGATCCTCTTTGTACCTATGACTGATGCAGCTGTACTGGCAGACGGTGGTAAACAACTATACTGGCAAAACTGCATTGTTACTAGAATAGCTTGTTTTGCTCATGGGGAGTGGTTTCACTATGCCAGTGCAAAGCACAGCTTTGCTGGTATTGCTGTGTCCACATTAGGAGCACTTTTCCAGTATAGTATACCAATATTCCTATATGGTAAAGTGCTCCTAATGTAAATATGCCTGAGAATCCGCATCTTTTTTTTCACTTGTAGAACTTGAAATTGCATCATCTTTGTTTTCAGTTTTCATAGGAAAAGAGTAAGCTTTTAAAATAACTTCTTGTTTACAGCACCTGGAAAAGTAGCAGATAAAGTCATAATAGAAAACACTAGGGATTCCACCTTCGTTTTTATGGAGGGTTCTGAAGATGCGTACGTTGGGTATATGACAATCAGGGTAAGCAACCTTAGTAGAACTTCCAATAATTTCCAAAATTATGCTTTTTTATAAAATATCAAAACATTAAATTTTATTATTTTAGTTCAATCCTGATGACAAATCTGCTCAACACCACAATGCACACCACTGCTTAGAGATTACCGTGAACTGCAGCCCAATAATAGATCATTGTATCATTCGAAGTACCTGTACAGGTTAGTGTCCTCTTCACTGTTAAATTAATTCTAAACACTGTTACTGAAATAGGATAATTGCAGTGAACAGAATTTTTTTTCAGCCATATGCAGCACAAAACTTAATCATGAACATTTTTCCCTCTCAATTATATTTGGCTAGAACCTGTCCTTTTGGATGCAGACCTTGCTATAATTTATCTATGCTTTAGTCACTTTGAAATTATTACCATGCATTCTATGTAAAGCTATGCCTGAATATCATTTAGAAACTACAGCTGGTACAGAGTGCCCTGGTCTGTTTGGATGGTGATATTTCATGTTGGGAGGGCATAACAGTTATTATTGATGTCTGCTTACCAGTCATCATGGATGAGATCCTGGCCCCATTGAAGATTAGTGGAAGGGTGTCTCTGGAAAGGAGCCCCTTACTCTGGAACCTGCTCTTCTTCCCCATTAGTTAGACAGTGCAATACTCTGATGATGATCTTGGCATGATACAAAATATTTGATTGCTCCAGGCCCTTGAAGATGATAGATTACTGAGGGTGTAAATAGACTCAAGTGGGGGAGTAGTTAGCAGTCTTGAGAGAGTGTACAGAGTTTTGTTGTATCGTGTGTTTTTCTTCTGCATATTGTTCAGTGAGGGTGTGAAAAGTTGGATGAAGTATTTTTTTATTAACTTAAATAAATATACAAAATATTGCCCATTCTGCCAATGACATGCTGTTTGTGTAACTTTTGACATGTGACTTAAACTCTCTCTGCCTCAGCTTCCATATCTGCAAAATGGGGATGGTAATAGTTTCCTGTCTGGGCAAAGTACTTTTCATTGCTTTAATAAAAGGCATTAAATGAATGCTACATTTTTAAAATATCCATTTTAGATGCCATTGCATACTGTATGTTTTCTTGTAAGAGTAGGGCCAAACTATCTATAAATACACTACACTTTGAATCTTTGATAACTGTACACTTTTCTTCCAGTGGGCTCTGCAGTATGTGTTAGTGGCCAGGGAGCTTGTCCCACTATCAAACACTGTAACATCAGCGACTGTGAAAATGTTGGACTTTATATTACAGATCATGCACAGGTATTTTCTATTTCTAATTTCCCTCCTAACTTTTGTAGAACTATTTATTACTGTTGATTTTTGGTTTTTACTTACTTTTTCCCAGGGAATATATGAGGACAACGAGATCTCCAATAATGCATTGGCAGGAATTTGGGTTAAAAACCATGGAAACCCCATTATCAGACGGAATCACATTCATCATGGACGTGATGTTGGTGTTTTCACATTTGACCATGGCATGGTAATGTACATTTTTGTTTTGAAGAGAAATAATTGTACACTACTGTACATCTGTAGCTCTCAAATATCACTGCACAATAGTTTTGAAGAAATGTTTTTTATTTGTGACCAGATACTTTTAAAATCTCTAATGTTCCTTCCCCCAACTCTCTTCATAGTACAAAATTGTTTACCTTAATTTTAAAAACAAATGTAGCTGAAAAGTGAAAACCAGTCAGAACAAAGCATAGCACAGGACCACTTCACAGTACACCGCTACTTCGATATAATGCAACCTGATATAAACAAATTCGGATATAACGCGGTAAAGTAGTGCTGCGGGGGGGCGGGGCTGTGCACTCTGGTGGATCAAAGCAAGTTCAGTATAACGCGGTTTCACCTATAACGCGGTAAGATTTTTTGGCTCCCGAGGACACCGTTATATCGAGGTAGAGGTGTAGGTTGGCCACACAAATGGATTAGATTTAGGATTCAAAATAATGAAAAATCACTGCCGTAACAAAATGTTGTAAATATTTAGGTGCACACTTACACTGTTGGCTCTTAAATAAATAAAATAAGGATTTTACATTAATTCTGTACCTTATGAAAGTACCTGAAAGATTTAGGAGTGTAGTAAAATATAGCATGAGAACAAACAATCTGATTTAATGTTGCATCTCTGCAACAGAATATACCAAACCTATTTTAGTAGAGGGTCCTGAGTAATCTGCAGGCTGCTGGCTCTTCTGTCATGGAATTGGTGGTGTAATCCACCCATTATCACAGAATTGTGCTTCAGAATTGAAGCTTTCCTTTAGAAGAAAAAGCTTCTTGCACCTAGGTATTGCAGAGAAAACCTTAAAAATATGAACTGAATGAAAACTGATGCAATGGTGTTTTCTTGATTCTGCACAGACCCTGAAACAATAACTGGAGTGTAAACTGCCCTGAATAATCCCAATGGGTTATCATTTCTGAAATACAGAGATGACACTATACATGTCTACACTGTTAATTGTTTTATTGCTGTTCATATTAGCAGAAATACCCTGCTAGAGTGCAACATTCCCAAAGCGTAACCCATGCATGCTTGAGTGCCAAAAGTCTTGACTTCACCCAGTTGCCAAAACCAGCAGTTTCCTCTAGCCACTTCTCTCACGCAGTTATATATATAAATATGTGCAGTACATTGACTGTGGAGAGAGAATAAGGTGAATTTAATGTAATATGAAACTAAACATGGGTGGTACTTCACTAATTATATTATTCAATTTTAATATTTAATATAAATAAAAGTCTACTAACCTGTGTAATTTGGAACAGAAAGTAGACTTGCCATCTTTTTTGAAAGGCAGCTTCATACTTCAGTGCTGGAATGCTGTTCAGTGATGGGTGTGTGATATCATGAGCAGAGAGTATCGTTGGATGTCACATAGGGACTACTCTTCAAGCCTTTAAAAATGATAAAATGGCTCCTTATCTAAGTTTTATTTAGGGTGCTGAGTATTTATCTTAAAATAAATATATAAAAAACAGATCATCCATAGCAGTTTTCTTATCTATTTAATGTGCTCACGGTGTTGCTGTAAGGTTTAGAGATTTTATAAAGATGTTCGTGATGATGCACTGTTTTGATTTCTTACATTGAAAAAAAAAGAAAAGCACCAGCCCTGTCTCTGTTGTTTGCTTATAATGCAGTAAGACATATATAACTATCCCCTCTAAGTGGAAGGAAGAAATAGGTCAAACTGAGACCAATGAACCATAATCTCCCAGTTTTAGTATTGTAATGTTCTTAATAATAAAATCCTTTGAAAGAGCACTTCCCGCATCTTACGGGCTCTTTTTGGCTAACAATATTCTCTTTGGGGTTTTTTGTGCTGGTAACTGGGTAACATCACTGGACAAAATCTCTTTTTGGTAACACTTTTTATATGCAACTACTAAGCATGTCTAAGCACTAAAAACACCTAAATAAATTTTCTGTGTAGCCTTCGTCTTCAACTTCTGTCATTCTTTGATATATTTTTTCATCCTTTCTGACACATTTACGTTTTAAAAATCCAGAGATAGTATGTTGCAGTATTGAATTCCTACCCTATATGTACTCTGTTCCTTTGAGTTTTTCCAAATTTCTGCACTTGAGTGCTGGCTGCAAAAGATTCTACAGTGCTTTCTTTGTCAGATTTCTTGTTCTCAGGCCATTCTTTGTGTTTCAGCAATCATGGGCTCTTTAATCTCTTGTCACTGGTGTGGCAATTTTCCAACATTTGTATAAGTGCTATGGCACCGCTTCAGATCTGCCAGTGCCAAACGTTTAACAAGAAGCATTTAAAAATGCGGTATGTTGTTGACAGTCTTAGATGTCGTGCACTGGACACTGTTACTAGATGCCTGACATGAGTTGCCACAGCCATCTACCATAAATCATATATTTACTCAGTGCATGAAAAGAAACTTTCATTTACCAAGAGAATAAGTTTTCATAATTCTCTAACTTAAAGCTTTGGCAGCAGGCAGTCAGTTTTGTTCCTCCCCTCCTCCTCCTTCCCCCCCCCCCCCCGCCCTCCCTCCCTCCCAATATATACTGCCTACCCTGATGAATGTTCTGTATCTGTACAGTGTGTCTGTATCCACACTGAGAAACAGTGTGGTAGCATAGGACTTACTGGGTGATATCAGGAATTTGGCAGCTCATTTTTTAAATAAAAAATAAAATAGAAAGCTTATTTAAATTAAAAAATAGCTATAAAAAGCCTTTTTGTTGTGTTGCACATTGTCCATGTGCAGTAGTGTAATCAAAATTAATCTTGGCTGTCAAATCAAAGGTCTGATCTTGTAAACCCTCAAAATTGAGCTTAGTCCCATTAACTTCAAATCATGGTATAAAATAAATGACACTTGTACTGAAGTAGAGAGGATTCCAAAATTTTGTGAGGCAGATTTTATATTTGCATTTCTTTTTAAGCTACCAATCAGATTAACTATGGTTGTTAATTGAATTGATATCAGGAATTCAGATAATCTTCACCTGGTTTGTAACCAGTTCACTTTTTTTCCTTCTTGCTCCCCTGATATTTTGTTTCTTATCCATTCCTCTCTTCTAGTCCTTTCTTTATAGTATTTCCCACATTGTTGTTCTATTTGGTTTGTTGCACTCATTCTGTTCCCTTCACGCTGGTGCTTCTACTGCTGCCTGTAGCACTTTCCGCAGCAACAGAGTGAAGCTGGCTCTCAATAAACTGAAGGAGTCATTTCTGTTTCTCTCTTCTCATCATATATTCCCAACAGAAATTAGCAGATTGTTGGGTGTTTCTGCATGCAGCTATTTGGGTGAGTCAGAGGAGTAAAACTGATTAGGTTCATGTTCATTCTGATTTGCTGAGTAAATGTTGTGAGCAGCTGGGGCACTTGGTGTGTTCCTTTTAGGAGAGTAGCAGACACAACCAATTTGGTTGACTTAATGTACCATCTCTGCATACATGCACATCATAAATCATTTAAAAGTTAATTATGTCTACCAATGATGAGGTATGGTGTGGAGCTGACAAGTGGTACTATTACCATGGAAATGGGGATAAACAATGACATCAACATGTTAAAATGATGACCACCGAAATATTTTGATTCATTTTTGTTAGTTGAACGACATGTATTATTTCAAGACAAAAAACTGGATTTGTTTGTGACCTCAAAGCATTGCAAGAACAATCTTAAAAAGTAAAACAAAATCTAATAATACATTTGTACCAGTATCACTGAAATGTAATAGTGCCGGTGACATTTCTAGTCAACATCATTATCATTATCAACATCATCTTGTTCTTCATTATGATGTCTGTCAGGAGTTTCTGGGTTATCACATATCGGGGGTAGCCATGTTAGTCTGTATCCCAGTTTTCATTGCCTTGGCATGTACCCAGTTATGTGCAGGGAGGATTGTTCTGACTACAGACCCAGTTGATTATGCAGTGACCCTACTGGTACAGGCACAAATAAGGTCTTGTAGAAGCTCAGATGTCATTGGGCCCTTGAAGAATACAAGTAGTAGTTCATCATCCACATTTTTCCATCCATGTTGCAACGGTGATCCAATATACGGTTTACCTATGAGCAAAGACATCCAAATCTTTGTTTGCCAAGATGTTCTTTTGATACGCTCTTCAAAACTGTCCCACCTGGTGGAAGCTTGGTCAGTGACCTGACTAGCCTAGATTGAGGCACAAGCGATCCAGGTCTCTTTCGTCCTTTTTCGTCCTCACTCTGATCATGCAGCAATGCTACCAACATTCTTGTTGCAGAAGTTGCAGGGTGTGTGTCACTTTCTCCTGATTTGGCAAGATCTGTGAAATGGTAAGCTCCCTTTGTTTTGACAACATTAAACATAGTTTTTCCCCAATTTCAAATAGGCATGACACAGTCACATCCTATTAATGCATGTAAAGCAGAAAATATGTTTCAGAAGTCAGGAGTGAGGGCGTAACAAATTGCATGTACAGATATGAAGCAACACTTGTCAATTGTGGTGGTAATAGTGCCAATTTCAAGCCATGCATTAGCAATGTGCTCAGTTTTTTTTGGAAAATGACCAGCAAGGACAAAAACAGCTGTATCAAGTGAGCTAAAAACTATGGTTCCTTTGACATCGAGACCCAAAAATCCATACGCATGCAGAAGCATCCTCGCGTTGGCTTCCTCTTGAGTACTGTACAAGTTTTGGGCTTCTTCAGCACATCTACTAGTGACAGACTTTGCTACTTCGCTGTTGGAAAAGCCTCCAGCAAGGAGGAGTGTTTGTGTTGGGTGTGCTCCTACAATCTCAGGTGCATTTTGACCCATGTATTCACAGAGGACTTTTATAAGTGATTGTTGGATGCCACGTTTAGAAACTTTTTCCATGGAGGCACAGGGCATCCACAACCCACTGGTATTTCTTATATCCAACCTTAGATCCTGTCTGGTGCTGCCTTTCTGCAGTTTTCACAGAGTTACTGTTGTCATCTGTCAAAGACTTAGATT